CCTCACAATGCTGGTGTGTTCAATTTTTTGAATAGGGTGCTGGCAGATTAGGGCCCCCCATTGCTGCTGCCGGGCCCCGTAATCTGCCATGGCCCCCCGTACCGATCCTCATGCTGTGACGTTGAAACAGGGGGAAATTCAACCCTACTTGTTAGCCCGCCTTACAAAAGCAAAAGGCCATCACAGATTTCCTTGATGTTAAAAGTCCAGGATAAAGGTACTCCCTGTGTAACTTAGATGTCAAGCACATTGGCCGCTCATGCGTGACACCTGCGCTTGCTCAGCCCTGTTGAGGAGGCCACGCTATTCGTGAGTCGGCAGGACTATGGGATGAAACGACAGTCATTCCTCTGTTGCACGTCCTGTGAAGACCAAAATGCTGTTTTTTCCCCAACAATGGGGGGGCTGGTCAGGGTGCGGTAGACGTGGGCGCACAGATCTAAACGCACATGACCCCCTGTGGGGGCAGGACAGGGAAGAAGAGGAGGAGGTAGAGGGGAATTGGTGGCTCAGGAATTATTGAGGTGAAATGGGTGGTTTTTCCACTCAGGGACAGGAGTGGAGGAGCAGGAGCATATGGTAGAGGAGGAGGAAGAGGAGTCAGAGGACCCCAGGACGCAACCGTGGCAGTATGCTGTGGAGAGGAGGCCAGGGAGTCCCTCGCATTCCTTGGCACAAACATGGCCCATAGCATGCTCGCTTGCTTGCGTACCGACAGCCGAATAATAACCATCAGACAGAGGGATGACTTTTGGCTGTCCACCTTGTTGGACCCTCGCTACCGTCAAAAAAGGTGGCCTTTTTCACACCTGCTGAGAGGGAGGCCAAAAATAAAAGTACTATAAATAACACCTATGTAGTCAGCTGGTCTCTGCCTGTCTGCGCCAACGTCCATCCTCAGGGACACTGTGGGCCCTGTGCGCTCGCGTTCCGCTGCCATGGCAGCAGGGGAGGGGTGGGGTGGTAGGAGCAGTGGCAGCTCCACCGAGCAGCAGCTGCCTCAGTTCTGCAGTCGATGATGAGTAGCTTTCTTCACCAGCGCAGTGAGGAAACTAATAACCAGCCGCAGCAGCAGGCAGCAGCAGCATCAGGTGGACCTGGAGCAGGACCTCAAACAACAGGCTTAGGCCCATACTTGGACTGCACCCTGTCAACCGAGGTAGATCAATCCCCTTGATACTGGGCAACGAAACTTGACCTTTGGGCCCCAACTAGCTGAATTTGCCCTTGACTATGAAAGTCTGTCATGCCCGGCCAGTAGCGTGGCATCGGAGCGAGTGTTTAGTGCGGCAGGAGGTATTGCAACTCCGCGGAGGATACGACTGTCCACCAAAGTGTGGAGAGACTCACGTTTGTGAAAAATGAATCAGGCGTGGATTAGTCTGGATTTCAAACCACCAGTTCCTGACACAACTGACTAAATCCGCCATGAAATCATGCCACCAAACATGTGCCACTTTCAGGTTCTCCTCACACTGGCTGGTGTGTTCCATTTTTTTTGTCATAGGGTGCTGGCAGGCTATTTACGGGCCTCCCATAGCTGCTGCCAGGCCCCTAATCTGCCATGGGCCCCTCGTACCGACTCCTCATGCTGCTGCCAAGTCCAGAGTCTGTCATGGGTCCCTGTACGGCCTCCCATTGCTGCTCTTCTCATCGCCACACTCTGCCATGTGCCACTTTCAGGTTCCTCACACTGCTGGTGGGTTCCATTTTTTGTCATAGGGTGATGGCAGATTACGGGCCTCCCATAGCTGCTGCCAGGCCCCTAATCTGCCATGGGCCCCCGTACCGACTCCTCATGCTGCTGCCAGGCCCTGTAATCTGTCATGGGCCCCTGTTGTCGCTTGTTGGCATATTCCCGCTCGTTCAGATGCTCCTTCTCCTGCTACTCCTCTTCACGGATTCCGTCAGCAGTCTTTCTTGGAATCCGTTTCCAAGGAGACAACAGTTTGCGAGCACGCACCCCGACGGTGCAGAAGCTGAACGTCCCTCCTGTCCAAGTTGCTGCTGCCAGGCTCGTAATCTGTCATGCGCCCCCTGTACCGCCTCCTCATGCTGCTGCAGGTGTCCAGAGTGTGTCATGGGCCCCCGTACCGACTCCTCATGCTGCTGCCAGGCCCGTAATCTGTCATGGGCCCCTGTACCGCCTCCCATGCTGCTGCCAGGTCCAGAGTGTGTCATGGGTCCCTGTACGGCCTCCCATTGCTGCTGCCAGGCCCGTAATCTGCCATGGGCCCCCTGTACCAACTCCTCATGCTGCTGCCAGGCCCGTAATCTGTCATGGGCCCCTGTACCGCCTCCTCATGCTGCTGCCAGGTCCAGAGTGTGTCATGGGTCCCTGTAACGGCCTCCCATTGCTGCTGCCAGGCCTGTAATCTGCCATGGGCCCCCGTACCAACTCCTCATGCTGCTGCCAGGCCCGTAATCTGTCATGGGCCCCTGTACCGCCTCCTCATGCTGCTGCCAGGTCCAGAGTGTGTCATGGGTCCCTGTACGGCCTCCCATTGCTGCTGTCTCCATCGCCACACTCTGCCATGTGCCACTTTCAGGTCTCCTCACACTGCTGGTGGTTTCCATTTTTGTCATAGGGTGCTGTATGGCCTCCCATTGCTGCTGCCTCCACCGCCACACTGTGGCTCACACTCTGGTTTTGGCCCCGTGACTGCCCAAATGAGTGAAGTGTGCGGTGATTCTAAGATCGACGGCACTCATCTGCATGCCATACTGACTGTCAGTATTATTTCTCTTCCCCAGCAGACTCCAAGGGCATTTAAATTAAAGGTACAGTGTTCTGCACTAATATAAAGTCTCTCTGAAGCCTAGAAACACCCTTTATAAGTTAAATTCGCAGCGATTCGACTCGAATCGAAATTTTTCCACGAATTCGCCGAATCAGTCGAATCGAATTTTTGAATACTTCGCTCATCTCTATCCAGGGCCTTCAAAACTGGGATAGGTAGTCAGGAAATTACATGTGTAATTTATGCCCCTTTTATGCTCCTAGAATGATTGAAGGTGCTACTTGGATGTTGGGTCTCTGTATGTGGCCAGGCTGTGGAAAAGTCTCACACATGTATTATCGCCATACTGAGAAGGAGTAGCAGAATGTATTTTGGGGAATAATTCTTGGTATGTACATGCTGTGTGTTACAAATATTTTATAAATTGACAACTTTGTGTGAGAAAAAAAAGTTTTTATTTTTCTTTCCACATTTTCTAAAAACTTTCTGTGCCAGGTATGAGAAATAACTTGTTATTTTGACATTTAAGTGTGAAAAAAAACATCATAATAATTTCTTAATTTTCCAAAGAATTGTGGGGGAAAAATTACAACTCAAAAAACTCACCATGTCTTTTACTAAATACTTTCTATTTTCCAAAAAGGGGTCTTTTGGGGGCTATGTGTACTTTCCTAGCATGTTAGGCTGGCCATACATTATACAATTATCTGGAGATTTTTGGTTTAGATTTACCAAAAACCATATAATAGGAGGACAAACCTAAACAACACTTTCAGTTGTATCCAATTAGGCAGGCCCTTGCACTACACAGTTGAAGGTAAATCTAAAGGAAATTGGGCAGAAAATTGGAAGATAATTGTATAATGTATGGCAAGCCTTAGGGCCTCAAGAAATGAAATAGGCCATCAGTGCTTCAGGTGTGATTAGGTGTGATCAATTTTCAATGATTGGTGCCATAGCTTGAAGACTCTAAACTTTCACACAGACTGAATAATATACACTGATTTGGGTTTTTTTTTTACAAGGTTATGTAGCAGTATACATTTTTGCCTAAATGTATGAAGAAAAATTACTTATTTGCAAAATTTTATAATAAAAACAAAGAAAACATTTTTTTTTTAAATTTGTGGTCTTTTTTCATTTATAATGCAAAAAATAAAAAACCCAGGGGCGATTAATTACCACCAAAGGTTCTATTTGTGTGAAAAAAAATGATAAAAAATTCATATGGGTACAATGTTGCATGACCGCGCAATTGTCAAAGTGCAACAGCACTAAAAGCTGAAAATTGGCCTGGGCAGGAAGGGAGTAAAAGTGCCCTGTATGGAAGTGGTTAAATAAATATGGATTACAGGTAAGTGCTTACAGGACAGTTTAAGAGTGACTTTGCCATTGTCAATGAATATATACATACTGTACAAAGTTATGTGAGAAAGGAATGGAAATTGTTGACCTTTTCAACATATTTGAACAGACAAATTTTAGATATTTAAGTAGAACTGGAACTATAGAACTATAGGCAAAATGTTTTTTTTTTTATTTTAGATAGAGGAACCCCTGCAAGCTTTTTTTTTGCCATCCGTGTTCCATTGTGGAAATTTCACTTTACTTCCTGGGGGAATTGCTTGGGGACCCCCAGGTCACCAGAACTAGGGTCCCCATTGGAATTTACCCCCCCCCCCCATTACTTTTCTGGCGACAACCCAAAACTGGGGATTTTTTTTTACTTTCACTTTCAATGATAATGGCAAACAGGACAAATAGGGAGGGTGGATCTCCCTAATGGGGGCACAGACAGCAAAAACTAACAGGTTTTCTAATCCCTCTCCACTCTATCCAAAAAAAAAATGTTTTGCCTTTCAGTTCAAACAGTGCTTACAGATAATTATAATATACTTGAATAAAACACAAAGAAAATGTGTTTTTTTTAAATAAATATTTAACACAAATATCAATGGGTGCAATAGTACTGTGGAAAATGTAAGTACAACACTGGCATTAGAAGCTGGTATAGCCCCCTTTAGCAGAAATTAATTATTGTGTTTTCTTCAGTTGCACAATGTTTGTGGGTTTCCTCGGATAAACTACTCCTTTTAGTTCCCCTCATATTTCAGTAGGATTCAGTTGTTTGAGTTGGCCAGTCCATAAACCTACATTTCTTCTTTCTGAGCCTTTCTGGATTTTCTAGTGTGCTTTAGATCAGAGTTTTTCAACTGGGGTGCCATGACATAATGACATAAAGCCTGTACAGTCTTACCATGAAAGGGTTACTCTGTTAATCTGTGTACAGAGAGGAGAGAGAGAGCACATCCAGAATCTCCTCCTGGCCCTCTCCTTTTCTGGGATATTATCTGTTCTCATTCCAGCAAAACTGAAAGCTGTGCAAACCGGTCACCTGCGTCCTACCAACCGATGAAGTCATCTGTTGCTAAGGACAGGTCGGATTAGCACCGCAGCTTTCAGTTTTGCCGGCATGAGAACAGATAGCAGCACAGAGGAGGAGAGGGTCAGGAGGAGGTGTGGGATGTGCTCTTTCCCTTGACTGATTGATTACCTCCCCCTATCCCTCCCCTCTCCAGGCTGCTCATGTTCTGGCAGCAGAAATTGTTGGTAGGGGCAGTCATCAAACTCCGTACAGTCCTGCAGCAGGGGGGATATGGGGGGGAGTGGTTTTTCACAGAGCTGTAAGTCGTCTCAAATTGTATGTGTCAGCACCTGTGGTAGTGAGCTCTTATTGATCCTCAACTTGGGGTTCCCCAGGGCGCAGAGTCTAAGCCCCAGCCTGCTTCTTCACCAGAGCCCCTGATGGTGGGGATGGACTTTGCAGCAAGCTGGGACCAGGTCACAGCCCTAGGTATGCCCAGCTGAGGTTGAGGGGATCGCTTGCGGAAGCAGAGTATAATGGGAGGAGACTAACGGAATCCGATAGGCAAGCCGAGGTCAGGACAGGCGGAAAACAAGCAAGGTCAGAGAACGAAGCTGGGTCAGTACACGAGTAGTCAATGTAGGATTCAGACAGTAGTAACACACGGGAGCTCTGACAACTAGGAAGTTGCTCAGGCAAAGTGACCTAGTCTGAGCACGTCTTATATAGACAGGCAAACAAGGAGGCAGGCCAGGAAGTAATGGAAGGGAAGGAAATAAAACCCAGAGGACAGCAGACGACGCCCATAGATGAGCACAGAAACACATGAGAAGGGATCAGGAACAGGACTGCAGCAAGAAGGTAAGAACACAAACAAGAAACTGCAGGCTAACTTGTGACAGTATGTTTCCCAAACCGCACAAAAATGCACTGCATTTTGCAGATGCGCACAGGTGCCATTACACCCTGTTCCAAATTGTTATGCAAATTATATTTTTCTCATTTATCTAAATAATTGATGTAAATAACAGTCAGCATAATTCTCATGTTATCATGTTATCAACTATAAAATTCAAATTTTATTGAACAAACCTCCTAATGATAACAGTATTTTTTTTAAACATAAAAAACTTACAATGCACTGTTCCAAATTATTAAGCACAGTAAGTTTCAAAACACTTTATAGGTTGTAAAGAACTGAAAATTGTTATTTGTTGTGTTTGCAGCATATTTACTGAAATCAAAAGCTATTTCAATCAAACTTTTAACAACATTTTAACTTTTTAAACATTTTAACAGGTCACGTTACATTTTAACATAGGTCCCCTTATTTGATAGCAGCTTCACAAGTCTTGCATCCATTGAACGTGTGAGTTTTTGGACAGTTTCTGCTTGAATTTGTTTGGAAGATATCAGAATAGCCTCCCAGAGCTGCTGTTTGGATGTAAACTGCCTCCCACCCTCATAGATCTTTTGCTTGAGGATGCTCCAAAGGTTCTCAATAGGATTGAGGTCAGGGGAGGATGGAGGCCACATCATGACTTTCTCTCCTTTTATCCCCATAGCAGCCATTGATGCAGAGGTATTCTTTGCAGCATGAGATGGTGCATTG